AGTAAAAAGGAGCAAACAAAAAATCAGATAAAAATCCATACAAGGACACTGAGAAGAAAGCATTAATAAAAACTCGGTACAAGGACATAGTTACACAAGAATTATGAACGATGTGAAAACATCATAACACACTGTATATATGAATAGGATCAAGTAACTCACAAATGGGTTCGAACTTTGATTGATTGAATTCGAACTTTCTATAAGTATCTCTGAAAATAGAAACAGAACTCCTAACTATAGTCGAACTTATGCCAGATAGTTTCACAAGTACTTTGATAAACGGAAGTAATACTTGTATAGCACAGTTTCTGTGATCAAGAATCTTCGGGAAACCATGAAATGATGATGTCCCGTTCTGTTACGTATTGATCAATTTCCCGACGTCAGAACTGGAGAAGCGGTTGTGTTTCCAGTCAGGTGAGTCACTGTTTAATGAGAACGTGGACGCATTCAGATTTCTTGCGAAGGCTGATTCAGTATCAAACGGGACCCACGTGAAAATTGTTGAAACAAGTATACTGTCGTTTCACGTTTTTCAACCGCTGAGTCAGCGATAGCAAAAAATATCCGATGAATTATTGCAGAAAATTATTTGTCATCATCCTCGTGATTCTTCCTCCCATTTTTCTGTTTAAAAATTATAACGCAGTTTCATTTAATTACTGGCATTGAGTACTTAAAATTGCACGAATACCTAATATTTTTCATTCATTATGAAGCTACTGTTTAATCAGTAAAATTACATATCAGGACAATTGATTTGTGTATTGGACAAATGTCCAACATTTTACACATTAATCATATAAAATGATTTGAGTTTCTGATTTGAGTCATGTTCAATTGCACTCGTCTAATCCAGTTAACCGCGATTCCGTTTACTCATTCAGAATCTGACGAGTATTTCATGGTAATTCCTCCTAGTTTCCGCGGAAAATAGCGAGCGAACATAGCAAGTTAGCGCACGGTTATCGGTAGGCGTGAACGTATAAAAGTGTGACAACCTTCGAGAACGGCTATCTCATTAGTCACGATTGCCGTGAAAATGAGGCAAACGAGCGCGTAGTAAAAATGGTCGTGGAGTAATCGCACCTTTTTCTTCCTTTCCCCGTCCCGCGAACAAACCATGATAATACCCAAAGCGAGTTTTGCTCGGCTCCACCGCCTCTTTCTCTTCCTTCCATAATTTATATTAAACGCATGATAAGCATTATGGCAATCATCAGAGTGATCGTTAAAATAATATTATACATTATCTTATTTGGTCACGTTGCAGTGCAGATTGATTTATCTCTGGAAATAAATTACTGTATTCATGTTTATTATCAATTTATTTCTGAATCGTTTCCACTTAATATACGCGTATTTATTACGTCTAGAATTCAACTGCATTCTTACGTACTTCGCATAATTACTACGTAACGTCGTACATATATCATTTTAGTGACATTATCAAGTTTTCAAATGTATTCTGTATGCAATATGTTATTTCTTTTATTTAAGACTTGACAAATTCAAATGCACTACATTGCATGATTACTGTGAGATATTAAATGTAAGAAAGAACTGAAGGTGAATGTAGAAATGACGAAAGTGTTTGTATCCAAAAAAGGAAAAGACAAGAAACAGGAAAAAGGAAGGCAAGAGAGAAGGGAAGGGATTATTATACGACATTAAATATCATTTGAATTTCTACATTTTTCAATTAGAAAAGTATTGTTCAAAGGAATGATAGGGAAGGACGATAATCAATGTTAGAGATAACTCTGAGCGTACTCAGTATATCAGACCGAGAACAGACTTGGAAGGATGTCGCAATTCGCGCGCACGCAAGGTGATACGGGCTTCTCGCGGATGTATGTCATTCTAGACCCTCGACGCTTCTCACTGTCGTTCGTCCGGACAATGAGAAGTTGCTTTGAATAAGAAACGGGGAGAGATTCGCGATAACGCGGAACGCGGTAGAAAAATCGTGAGCTGCAATTGCACCCGGTTAACCTGACGTAACGAAGGTCGTTGACATCACCAAGAGACACTTCCTACATCATGATCTTATACTGACACCAGTATTAAGATACCTAGTGAAAGATATATTTTTATCACGTATAGCAGAATATGTGTTTTTGTTTAAAAAATTGATTAATTTTTATAAACTTGTCCAGAAAATTAGATCCAAGTATAATTGATATCGTTATCAATTTCAATAGG